CCACACACACACACACACACACACACACACACACACACACACACACACACACACATATACACACATGCACACACGATCGTGCATGCAGATATCAACAGTTGCAGTAGACGTGCACACGGATGCACTCATTCACACAAGAGCAGTGAGACAGAGACCGCCTTGTCTGACAACAACTACAGACTTGGTCAAACAGAGGAGGAGGAGGGGGGAGAACAATACCGTAGTTGAAAGGGACACGAGAGGTAGTGTATGCTATAAAGTAAATGAATGGTGTAAAGGAATCGGCATTTAATAGAAAGTAACATGCTGGATGGAGGGACTTGAAGGCCGGGGCAGGTTACTTTGGTGCTACAGTAAGAAAACACAGAATGGAGGAAATAGAGAAAAAAGAGGTTGTAGTAAGCGATAATGCTCACTGACAGCCATGTCACACTGAGCATCAGCATGAAGCATGTTTGTGTGTAAAGTTGTGTCAGGTCGGGCTGCCTCTGCTGCGTTTTTTAACGTTTCACCTACTTACTGTCAGTGGCTGTCAATCATCTGAGGCATCAGCTGACAACCAAGGTAACATATTCACTGAAATATAAACTAAATCTGACCAACTAAAAACCCCTCAATGGACCCTCTTTCCAAACTTACCTCAACAAATAAAAAACGACTGCAACCTATTATACAAATGCAATATGTAGTTAAGGGAATTGGATAATTGTGTTTTGGTTAGTTGGTTTAAGAAGTTGCGTAATCACTCTAGTGTAAACCCCCTGGTGGATTCATGCCCTGGAACGGCCCCTTGCCTCGCTTAGTTCATTTCCTGTTCCTGGCGGAGGCAATAAGGGATAATAAGCTGTACGCTACGCTTGCTGCTCTTGATGATGCGTCCACACAATCTTGTTAATACGCCAATCATAGGAGAGGGCGAGAAAAAAGGAGAGGCAGAGAACTTTGGCACTAAATCTCAAGTAATGACGGATGTGACAGACGGATACAGAGAGTTCCCCTGGAGAAAACTTGGAAGACTGTGTTGAAAACATGTCATAAAGACCACAAAATGCGATGCAAGCAAAAGGAGATCGCTCATCATCTTGTCTGAATTGACGGCTTCAGTGAACCACTCTGCTGGTGTGGTGTGCAAAAGACAGACAGTGAGATATAATAGCAGTGGTCCCCTGAGGAACATTGGCAAGACAGGCTGCTCTCTACGGAAACTTGAAAAGATCATATTTCTAGCCAATGGGCCTCTACAATGCTTCGAACAATTGTTAGGGTTGTCAAGAGGGATACATAGGAGACCAAACCTTGTGTCCCATAAAATATTTTTAGGTTTTTTAAACAATGACAACAAGCTATAACATGTAAAATACTGCTGAGGTTGTTAAATACAACGCACTCTGACAACGCGTGATTACACAGAAACCAATAAAAATTGGGGTTCTGAGTGATTCACATTACAGTCCTGCAGCTCCATCCAAAATTAAATGTGATTGCTACCGCAGCTTCACTCCCTTCCACCCACAGCACTCCCCAAATCATAAACAGATTCTCAGATATTCAACAAGCGGTGGTGCTGCCTGGGTCACATTTACCCCAGCCTGGTCGCAGATACCCATGACCAACCTTATTACACACTTACCCAATTACCTAGTGAGACTGGGCAGGTGGGGTGGAGAGGGGGCACACACCACACACACACACACACACACACACACACACACACACACACTCGGTTGTAAACCTTGGCTGTTACTATAACGGATGGCAGCATTTGGGATCAAAGGTTATCAGCGACAGCCTCCCCTCTGAGATGATGAGTTGTAACATAAACACAAGCTGAAAACAAATATCCCAGCCCTGACACACATTTATACATTTCCCCATTCAGTGTATGTACAGTAGAGCTGTGTTTGGAATGTGTTCATTAACATATTGTNGGAACCAAGGCATAACATATAAAAGTTAGCGCTGAGCTTCAGTCTGCAATGTTCAAAACAACAGATAAAGCCAGAAATCTAGGTGTAGTCATGGACTCTGACCTGAGTTTCAACAGTCACATTAAAACAGTTACTAAATCAGCTTACTATCACCTAAAGAACATATCTAGGATTAAAAGACTGATGTCACAGCAGGATTTGGAAAAACTTGTCCATGCTTTTATCCTCAGTAGACTGGACTACTGCAATGGTGTCTTCACAGGTCTCACTAAAAAATCTATTAGAAAGCTGCAGCTGATTCAGAACGCCGCTACGCGAGTCCTCAATAACACTAAGAAAGTGGATCACATCACTCCTGTTCTGAAGTCTTTACACTGGCTTCCTGTGTGTCAAAGAATAGATTTCAAAATACTGCTGCTGTTTATAAAGCACTGAATGGTTTAGGCCCAAAATACATTTCTGACCTCCTGCTAAATGATGAACCATCCAGATCTCTCAGGTCTTCAGGGACTGGTCAGCTTTCTGTCCCCAGAGTCAGAACTAAACATGGAGAAGCAGCGTTCAGTTATTATGCTCCAAACATCAGGAACAAACTCCCAGAAACCTGCAGGTCCGCTGCAACTCTGACTGCTTTTAAATCCAGGCTGAAGACTTTTCTTTTTGTCGCTGCTTTTAATTGAACTATTCATATCTTAGACTGCACTGTAACTTTTTATTCATGTACTTTTTATTTTGTATTTTTTCTTTTAATGTTTCTTTTATTATCTTTTCTTTTTAATGAATGTTTTTAAATGCCTTTGTCTGAATGTCTTTCATTTTTGTAAAGCACCTTGAATTGCCTTGTGTTGAAAGGTGCTATATAAATAAACTTGCCTTGCCTTGTCTTCCACAGATTACATTTTTAATGTATTTATTGTCAAAGCATTTCATTTATTCATTGCTATCAGGATGTTAAGAGCATTCCATGGAAGATAACAATAAGCGTTTCTGAAGTGAACTACCTACCCCACCTTTAATTCAAATGTATTACGCTTTTTATGTTTCTATACATATTAAAGATAGAATGAAGAAAAGAAAATAATATTTAAATATATCATTTTTTTAATCAATTATTTATTTTAACTTCTTTAGAAAGCATGTGTCCAGTTTACATTTGTTCTATAGAGTCAAAGTAGAACACGTAACTAACCACTCCTAATTTGATGTACAAAAATGCGTATTTAGAATAAATTGATAACAAAAATCCTTCCACAGGTTTTCCAAGTAGTACAATGCACAATACTTGCAAGGAGCCAAATAAGATAATGTTATAAAATCTCATAATAAATCATTTCTGAAATGCTGTTTATTTAAAATATCAAGTTAAATTAAAGCGTCCAGTTGAGTGACCCTTTCATTCCTCTTTTTGATTTCTCTAAAGGCCCATGTATCTTGTATCAGCTATTTCAGTAGACCACAAGCAGTAAATAACACTTGTGCAATGCAGACTTCTTGGCTGTCAACACCCAGCGTGGGCTGAACTGGATCCAAACCACATCTGGCTGCATGTAAACTGTACACAGGGAGGGAGGGTTACTTTAAACCTGCATTCAGTAACCTAATCTGAGTATCAAAATATAAAAGTACTGTACCCTGATTACTACCCTCAATATAAAATGCAGTACCAATAAATATAAGAGAAAAACAGCATCAATTAGACGTTTTTTTACGCAAGTATTTTTGTATGTAACTGTGAGGAAATACAGGTACTTTCTTCTGACTAAGTGTCCTTGCATGTTTCTGATCATATGATAATAAAAAAGGTATTTTCTTATATAAGAATACACGGTCCTTGCAGGCTGCAGTGTGTTAAAACTACACCATGAAGGAGGAGGTCACATGACTCTCTTGTTTTTATTTTTTACTCCAGGAACATATGTGCTATTGTTTTGCCGGGATAAACATTCCCACTCACAAGATTATCCCGCTCTCGAAAGGGAAAGCATTAGTTTGGCTTATATTTCTGAGGAACGTGGCCAAAAGGGACATTTGGAACATGAGAAAAGCATTTATATAACACGCAGCTGTTTGGACTGTATGTTCAGAGGCAATTAAAAACATATAAAATAACCGGGAGAGAGAAAAAAGGAGAATAAACTGATTGCTGAAGCCACAAGGTTTTAATCAGTCAAAGAAAGTAAAGAGGGCTCACCAGCCAATTTGCAACGTAGCCACTTTCTTATTAAAGAAAGTGTCAAAAGTACAAAGGTACACTGGAGCACATGTCCTAACAATGAACAAAACACACGTTAAACTCAAGGTCTCACAAACAGACACCACACATGCTGCACATGTCACACATGCAGCCCAGAGGAGAAGGAGAGAGAGACTGCAGCCTTCCTCAGGTCCTTGGAGGCCCTGATTGGGGATTGGGACAGAGGGATTTTAGCCTCTGCAGACCATTTACATGCACTAAAACACTACAGCAAAGAGGAAAAAACCCTAAAGGCAGAATATATCCTCTTTTAAAATATTTTTTAACAGGTTATAAAAACAAAAATCAAAACAGATTATTTCTACGCTGTGTTACTACTTTTGCTTTAATCCACCTCTGATAATTATTAAAGGTCCCATGTTATGCTTTTCCGGTTATCACCCGTCCCCTTGTGTGTTATGAAGGTTTCTCTGCATGTAAACGGTCTGCAGATTCACAAACCCTCAAAGTACACCCTGTAGCGAGTACAACTCTAACACAGAGAAGACCTGTCTGTGCTGCCCCAGAACGCCTCGTTGGGGATTTCCGGGTACCAAGTGACGTAAGGGGCTAAGTGACGTAAGGGCTACGCGGATTGGTCCAAACGGCCAGAGAGTGAATACACATACTTTACAGAGATGCCGTATGAGAAACCAATGTGAGTTTGGAACATTGAATAATATAAATCTATTCTAGTAGACCTCAACAATGGAATTATGATCAGTAGAAATGGCCACGACATGGGACCATTAAGTACGGTATAACCAAACACAGGTAGCAAAGTGCACACTCTGGAGATGTTAATGTCACTAAATCACAGCTTCACAGGAACGTGAGCTGTGGACTTTAAACAGCCCCTTGCTGATCACGTTTTCCCCGTTGTTATGAAGATGTCTCAGTTTTCACAATGTGATGAGTGTTTGACCTCAGGCAGGGTCCAAAGTTGAGAAAGATATTAAAAGCTCAACATGTTTAAATAAAATACTATATATATATATATACATATACAAAAGACTAAGTACAGTAAACATATATTTTTTAAAACCAGTGAGAGGAATTCATTTGTTAGAAAATGAAAAATAATAACACTTAAAAATGTTTTGAAACCATAATGGCAAAATAAATTAAATAATACATATATTTCACAAAATCAAGATATTCAAAAAGTACAGTTTGACCAACATTTTTTTTTTAAAACATAAACACGGTAGGGGTAAGAAAATTATGTTGCTTATCTTCAGATGTATATCAGTATGTAGTGTCTCTTCTTTAAAGAGTCCTCTCCTGCTGATGTTCAGATGTATATCAGTATGTAGTGTCTCTTCTTTAAAGAGTCCTCTCCTGCTGATGTTCAGGTGTATATCAGTATGTAGTGTCTCTACTTTAAAGAGTCCTCTCCTGCTGATGTTCAGGTGTATATCAGTATGTAGTGTCTCTACTTTAAAGAGTCCTCTCCTGCTGATGTTCAGGTGTATATCAGTATGTAGTGTCTCTACTTTAAATAGTCCTCTCCTGCTGATGTTCAGGTGCATATCAGTATTTATAAAACGGACAAGTCAAATCAAGCAATCTGATTGGTTCTTAGCCGTGATATACTGAGCGTATACCACGGGTAGAATTGTAAGTTACTTTTCACAACAAGTCAGTATCCCTCCGCGTCTGAGAAAAACAGTATACGGTTGGGCTGAAAAGCAAACTGTACTGGAACAAGAAAGCAGCGGAGAAGTAACGGGGCAGAAGCCCTCCTTTTTGACGCAGCGATCCAGACATAGATATCAAACGGCGACACATATTCAGTGTGCAGTTCATTTGGCATTAGGGCAGGGATATCTAGATACTTTTGAAGGTTTAACATAATGAATTGTGCTACTTTTAAAGCAAGCAACGATGTTTTCAAATCTGTAATCAAAGAGGTCCGCAAAAACGCTATCGACCAATCAGATTGCTTGATTTGACTTGTCAGTTTTATAAATATATTTAAATTTCTTCCGTTACGAAACAAACTTACAAAGCATAAAATGTCCTCTCCTGCTGATGTTCATGTGTATATCACTATGTAGTGTCTCTACTTTAAAGAGTCCTCTCCTGCTGATGTTCAGGTGTATATCAGTATGTAGTGTCTCTACTTTAAAGAGTCCTCTCCTGCTGATGTTCAGGTGTATATCAGTTTGTAGTGTCTCTTCAAAGTCCTCTNGTACTTGGTGAGAGCCATTCTTTTTATCGTTCAATCGTTGGTCCGCACTCACTGCCTGCCAAAATCCACTCGCCTTTTAAAAAGCTTGATTTTGTTCCCCAAACGCTCAGCCCAAACGTATTCTGTGAAGACCCGCCCCTACTCTGATTGGTAGGTTTCAGTGAAAGTGCCTAATAAGACCATGGGTCCATAAACATGCTAATGGTTGTGTGAGACAGTTCTTACAAGAAAACAAGCAAAAAAAGAGACAAAAATATGCAAAAAGTTGGGAAAACCACCACATACAGAAAGAACAATGAACATCAGGGCTTTGATGGCCCATTCAAGACATTTGGCGTATTTTCTGATGTATTTCTGATGTATTTTCTGATGTATTTCTGATGTATTTCTGATGTATTTTCTGATGTATTTTCTGATGTATTTCTGATGTATTTTCTGATGTATTTTCTGATGTATTTCTGATGTATTTTCTGATGTATTTTCTGATGTATTTCTGATGTATTTTCTGATGTCCTCCCCAGATCAGATCGCTCTCCCTGACTTTAACGCCGGGGCGATGGAGAACTGGGGTCTGGTGACCTACAGAGAGACGGCCCTGCTGTTCGACCCCTTCATGTCCTCTAATGGAAACAAAGAGACAGTCACCAGCGTCATCTCACATGAACTCGCTCACATGGTAAGAAAATAACATCCCTGTCATCGTGTTCTCTTAAAGGTCTCCTATCATGCAAAATGCACTTTTGGATGTCTTTTATACATAAACATGTGTCCCGCCCGGTGTTTCAGGAGACTCACAAAGTGTCAGAAAACAAAACACTCTCTCTTTTCCTCTGTTCCCACATCTCTAAAAACAGGCGCAATAACAAAACGGAGCTGATCCAGATTTGGCCTTTGATCACGGCAGCATTTAGCTGAATCTGCGTTATAATTCTGAGCAGGCATTAGCTCTCCTCCAGAATCAGCACTTTAGTAACAGGGCTGGAATAGAGGGATATGAGGGATGTCTTAAATGCATGATTTGTTTGGTATTTTGAGCAAAACACTTCATAGACATGTTTTTTTTATATATTTGTATATATCTGAGACCTATAATATATGCCTAGAAATAGCATGATAGGAGACCTTTAAAATCACACTGTACATTTTACATTTATATTCAATCTAATATTTAATAATCCATTCCTCAGATACTTATGTATATATAATATCCTGCTTTATATTTTTCGTTACTGTGAATATGTAATTCAACTTGTATATTTTCTACTTTTTTTAATGCTATTTTATTTCTAATGAGATGTTTATTTCTAGTCTTTGAATTTTTACTGAAAAATGCCTTGTTTTTTGATGCAGCTGCAACGCAAACATTTCCCAAATTAGCATCAGTAAAGTACTTCTTATCTTATTCTTATCTTATATTATGTCTTTCAGTTTTTATAATCATGGGAAAAAATCATAATAGAAAATACATTAATTTGGTGTAAAGTAAATCACCGCTTGTGTAAACACACGGTGAGCCAAAGTCCTCGATGATAGATCCTCACCTGGGGAAACATTAATTCAGCGCACACAGAAATGTGTTTAACGCCTGTCATCAGAAGGGATGTGGAAATATGAGCTTGGGAATTTTTTCTGGATCGTTAATCTAAAAGTACAAAAAAACATATCTTTCCTCTCACCTCCAAAGCTGTTTATTTGTTCAAAGATTCAAAAGTTGTATTGTCTTAATTGTATTAATAGTAATAGTATTTAGAAACGAGATCGCTCAATCGTTGGCTGATAAGTCCCAAAATGAAGCTATTTCTTTTGAGTAACTTGGGTCATGCTTTTTGGAAAAAGATATGTGTGTTTCAAAATGCAAAATGCAGATTACAGATGGGGACGGGGTCCAAAACCAGCAAGCCACATGCATGTCTGGGAGCAAATACATTTGATATGCTCCACAGATACGGCCAGGATCCGTTGGATTTTCTGAATGTTGGGTTGCAGATTAGAACTTTGTTCGTTTAGCATGAAACATGAAAAAACTAAAGGATAAGTTAAAAAAGAAAGTAGAAAGAAAGTGAGGTCATAGAAAACAATTTCTGCTAAAAAGTGAGCAATGATTGAGAGTCAGAGCTGAACATTTCAGATGAGTGTTTCTCACACTGCTCTGTAACTTTAATTCATGTACCTTTGTTATTCATGTTTTATCATCTTTGCTTTGAAATTAGTGTTTTTAAAGGCCCTTTGATAATATGTTTCTTAAAGCTCTTAAAACCTTTTTTTTTAACACTATTCACGAAACTGTGTCTCAGGGCTTCTTAACATGTAACAACCTATTAATGTGTCATCCCCACTTAACGGGAAGAAACTCAGCGAACTGACGATATGAACCGTTGCTGTTTTCTGATCAAAAGTTGTGTTCAATGGCATTAAAACGAATATAAACGCTGCTGGAGGTTAATCCAATCGCTCTGTGTCCCTTTGAAATGATCACTGATGATCCATCATCATATTTATGGAAATAAATAGTTTTCAGACGTTTCAACGTAGCTTTCGTTTTGGGCAAACTGCGTGCGCATCACTCTCACTCCTCAATGGGTAACGTGTAGGTGGGTTTAGGAACTCCCCCTCCCTATTGGCTCTTACAGTTCAAAAGAGGTGTCAATCATCAAAATTGACCGATGGGATCCAGAGATAGCTCAAATCCACCCAAATGGCCCCAGAAGTGGATTTATTTGCTAGATCTCTCTAAAAAGGTCAAAATTTCACTTGTTTTGCATCAATCTTGATACAGGGTACTTATTATATGTTATAGTTTGGATTCCTAAAGCTTTTAGTCTACTATCCCATCAATCAAGGGTGGGTTTCACTAAAAGTAATGGTTTTTATTTTGGACAGACACTACAATTTACATTTTCTTACTATGTTCAATCTGAATTTACTTTAAAATAAAAACATCTATATTGATTCTGACACTTCTACATCCAGCTCACAGGTGTAACCTTGCTTTGAGAAAAATATTATTAATGTAACCCTTTTAGAAGGGAAGATATGGTCATTAGTTCTGGGAATGTCATTTTCGAGCCAGAGACCTGAAAAACAGGCTCAGGGCTTAACAGGTTAATTCACGTAAAGCCCTTTGAATTGCCTCGTGTTGAAAGGTGCTGTATAAATCAACTTGTCTTGAATAAAGGTTGTTTTCAGTTCAAACCGTCGTCTGGCTGCACTTGGGTCCTCCCTGCGCAGCTCAAACTTAACTGATTTAATGTTTTCCGGTCTTCAGTGGTTTGGCAACCTTGTGACTCTGCAGTGGTGGAACGACCTCTGGCTGAACGAGGGCTTCGCGTCGTACGTTGAATACCTCGGGGCGGACTACGCAGAGCCCACCTGGAACATTGTGAGATCTTTAACACCTCCAAACACAGAGAGAATTTACTAAGACAGACAGGATGTAGAACATGATGAACAGCTCACAGACATGTTTTTACTGACTGTCCTTTATTTTCCTTTTTTTATTCTAACCTTAACCTTTTTTAGATTACCATATTTTATTCAATACGCTCCTTAGATAACTTCTCTCTTCTCCTCATAGCATTGTGAAGCACCTTGAGATGACGTTGTTTTTAAAATGTGCTACAAATGAAATGTATTATTATTATTTGTATGTCAGAAATAATGAGTTGTAACTCTATGGTTGGTTAAAAGCGTCAAATGAATGAACTTGGAATGTAATAGTTGTTATATGTTGATTCATGCTTTAATCTGGCCCTTATTTGTGGACGTTTAATCGAGACTATGTATGCTTGTTTGTGTATATGTTGATTATGTGGACTGCGGATGGAAATTGCTAACAGCTAAATCTACCACCTTCTCTTTTTTTAAATAATGTTTTTTTATACGCACGGTTCATTTCAAAAACTTACCAATAGCCCCCTCACTCATCTCTATCTGTAAAAGTCTCATAGCATCTATAAAGTGTCTCTGTCTCTCTCTGTCTGCAGAAAGATCACATCGTCCTGTATGATGTCCAAAAAGTGTTCGCTGTGGACGCTCTCGCCTCCTCTCACCCTCTGTCCCGCAGAGAAGAGGAGGTCAACACCCCGGCTCAGATCAGTGAGATGTTCAACACCATCTCCTACAGCAAGGTCTGCTCCTCTGACTCCATGTAAACAGGATCTGTTGTTACCAGAGATGGCAAAATTAACACATCCTTTACTCAAGTAGAAGTACAGATACTTGTGTTTAAAGATACTCTGGTGAAAGTAGAAGTACTGACTAAACTTCTTTACTCAAGTCAAAGTAAAGAGGCTTT